AGATAACTTCACAGCTCACTGCCGAAGACTTGCCCGAACAAAGCATTATACTTGTTGATAATCGCCGATGGTTACATTCACGAGCTGGTGTCAAGGATCCGAAAAGACACCTTCGTCGTGTACGATGGGACGCAGTTCCATTTCACAGCGTTTCACGCGAGACGCAATCATAAAGCCCCTTTGATGCCGAGAACATGTGTGTTTGTGTTGGACATGGCCGAGGTTGCAAAAAGGGAGGAGGAGGGGGTTGGTAAACAGGGCAAATATGCGGGACATACCGGAAAAGTTACTACCATAGCGGCAATTTGAACGCCTCACAATAATTAACACTAAAAGAAGAAAAATTTAGATGCAAGGGATTTATTGTTGTGCAGTTTGTTACTCTCTATAATGACGGTGTTGTGTGTGTATCGTTGCGCGTATGTTCAGATTACGTCGTTGGGTAAAACCACAAATGTACTAGTGTAGTTTGGGACTCTGTAACTCGAGGCATTTCCTAGAACGGATCGGTTCGTCGGCTGACTCGGAAAACGGCGGTCAAGGGTATCTGCTGAAAAAAAAGAAATGCTGCTAGCTAGTCTAATGTCGAGAAATTAATCAAGTTGTGAGATGTGAGAAGTGTTCATGCTGAGCATCGGTCTCCAAATGCATACTGTCTTGGCGGGTCGTCAAAATTAGGTTATGATGTGTAGATGGATTATAGTGCGGACTACCTAGCTGTCAAGTTTTCGCCGGCTATTGGCTTCTATTAGCCACTTTAATTTCAGCTCGAGTGATCCGGACTACGCTAACCGACGGCATGCTTAGCTAGCTGGCTAGACGGGGAGCTAGGAACCCCAATTGCGTCTCACCACCGTCCGTCCGTAGCAGCCGCCGACATAATGCCAGATTAACGATGTATCTTTGTATCGTAAAGTCTTTTTCATTCTGCGAGCTTAGGCATGAGAATCGAGATACCTAGCTCAAATCGTGGTCCAAATGGGGAAGCAGATGTTCGTCAGGGGACTTGTCAGGTTGTCAGCGCCAGGCCGCGGTCATCAAGTATTAGTATACACTATTACTAAGTAGGCTGTCGAATTACGATGCCTCCTGTTGAATACTGTTGCTTATAGGCATCTGACGCTTTCACATCACCGGTCGACGTAAATATACCTTGACAAGGTGAGTGGCCAGACTTTCAGCACTCAAATCGAGACTACATAGTGTTAATTCGGCCACCTTTCAGCCCCAAGGACTTACATCATGGATGGCGACGTCTACTCGTTACAGGATGTACTAGCCGTTGCTAGGATTCACCCTTTTTACTGTCAAGAAAGAGAGTATCCGCCCAATGCCTATGCTGTTCAGATCGCTAGACAAGGGGCGGTAGAGGAATCAGCGGAGGCAGACCTGAAGCTATTTCCATTACTCTGGAAGAAGCATCTGTGAATCGCCGAGCACCTATGTCCATCGTTTACAGAGTAGTTACTGACATGTCGAAGGTATGCCACCGTTGAGAGACTCGTCAATGATACGAGCTCCAAGAACACATATCGTCACGGCGTATACGCTAGCATTACCGGCGGGGGGTTCGGGTCCAAACCGTTATTCTTCGCAACTGATGTGGGCGAAAACCGCAGGCAGAGAGCGACTTATGGCCAATTTCTCCGGACAATAGGGGTCGTCACCCCCGGCGACTGGGTTTTGACGGTGCATAGCGCTGGTGAACTATATAGGTAACCAATTTTACTAGACCGTGTCTAAGCACACTAATTGAGAGTTTGTCAGATCTTTAGACCTCGCACTCGAAGTCCTAGAGAATGCTGGGGCCTCGGTACTCAGCGCAGGCAACCGTATGTCGGCAGCCGAGGCCTGCACGCTGCTTGCCAAGTACCACGTCAATGTGTTGACTGGCGATAGCAGCCAGATCATTCAACTCGTACACCACATCTCAACTCTCTCTCCCGAAGAACGGGGCCAAATCAAAATGGACAAGATCGTCTACACGTCAGAGGTGCTCACCCCAGCACAGCGTGCTTATATAGGACAAATCCTAGGCCCAATCAAGATTTGCTCGATGTTCGCGAGTGCGGAAGGCGGCCCCTGGACAGCTAGTAATCCTGATATGACGGGAAACAACGCTCGAGGGGACTCTATCGACTTCATCTTCAACACACGTGCAACGCTGATTGAGATTTTCCCGCCCACCTGCACACAAGCCGACTCTTCCACCCCTAGCACTCTACCTGATGGCGAACAGGGCATGGTGGTACAGACCTCTCTCGCTCGCTTACGAAACCCGCTTGTGCGCTACGTGACGGGCGACGTTGGATCACTCCATCCCCTCCCGGATCACGCACGTGCCCTCCTATCCGAGTCCGACTGGCGTCATTTCCGCGTTCTCCGTCTTGCGGGGCGCGATCGCCGATTCAGCTTCGACTGGGATGGAGAGTACATTGATTTCGAGGACCTGGCGGCCCTAATAAACGCAGAGGGCGCGATCCTGCAATGGCAGGTGATCCTAGGCACGATGGAACCATCTCGGGAGTCTTCGCTAGAAGTCCGAGTTCTCTGCGCTGCCGGAGACGACGACTCGAGCCGGGAAGCTTTTGTCGATCGGCTTACTACTTTCCTCCATGTCTACGATATGAATAGCCATAGATTTAGGCTGGAATTCGTTCAAGATATGGACGGCTTTGAACGAAGCAGCACGGGGCGCAAGGTTATCAAGTTCATAGACCGCTATAACTAGCTACGATTAGTCCCCATTACTAATTCATGAGAGCTCGTCCAGGGTAAAAAAGCATTGTTTTTGTCTAGTTATTAGTAGAATGCCTTATAAACCGCCCTAAGTTGACTCGGAGGGCTAGAGCCCCGCCGAGCTTAGGCTCAGGTTCCCGCTTAGCTTCCAAACTCCCACACTCTCGTAATATAGCACACAACAGACAACAACCACACATCAACCAATCATGGTGACAATTATTTGGTTTTGTGGTGTAGTTGGTTATCACGTCAGTCTAACACACTGAAGGTCTCCGGTTCAAGTCCGGGCGAAATCATGATCTTTCCTTTTGCTAAATTTCTAACTTGATTTGTTTTCTTTTTTTTGGTATCTAGTGTTCGGTGATGGGAAACGAAACGAAGAGCTGGTGTCTCGTGTGGCTTCAAAACCAGAGAAGGAGTACTAGTGGCTCATGATCTAAGTATCTGTTTAATTATTGACTTACTGGTGTTATAATCGCGATGCTTTTTAAGTACCTACTCAAGCCTATCCTATCATATAGCAAGATCTGAGTAGAATGGGGATCGCGCTGAATGGCGCTTGCGGAGACCGCCGAATTTAACTCTGTTCCTTTTCCCCTTGCATATTAATACCGGCTCTTGCATGAATTGACTCGCACTGGCTTATTAACCCTCGATTTTTTTTCAGTGGATAGTGAATCTAATAGACTAAGAACGTAGTATTAACACCTCTACGGCCCTGAATGACATCAGTCCTGACCCTTGAATATTACGTTATAAGTGATATATGAGTGATGGCTTCTGTCAGCGTTGATACGATTCGGATTCCCGAGGAATTCAATCCCACAGCGGAGTTACGGCTCTCTTCCGGCAACGGCCCTGTCTCCAGGACTGTACTGAAGACACCTCTACGCGATGCACTTCCTTCAGAAATCCCCGTTATCGACGTGTCTGGCATTTTCAGCGTCTTTAAAGATGCTCGCATCGACGTAGCTCGCCAGATCCGAGACGCCGCGACTAACAACGGGTTCTTCTATATCAAAAACCACGGCATCCCAGCCGACGTACCGGAGACGGCCTGCGAGGAACTCCTCAAGTTCTTCCGGCAGTCTCGAGAGATCAAGGACCGCGCCAACATTAGCCATTCCAAATACTTTAATGGCTATAAGCCGCTGAAATCGCAGCGCATCAACCCGTTTGAGTCGGTTGATATGCGCGAGACATTCTCCTGGACTTACGACCCGAGGTTTGACCCTTCGGTCCCCGATCCGGCTGCCGTTCCGCCTCATATCGCCCGGTACCTAGGATGTGAAAACTTCCACTGGGAAGCGACAGCCAATCTACCCCATTTCAAAGAATCCATCGTGCGTTACTGGCGTTCATGTCTTGCCGTAGCACGGGCGCTCGTGCGATCTTTCGCGCTGTCGCTCGACCTACCGGAAGACTTCTTCGCGGAGAAGTTCACACACCCAGATGCCGCTCTCGCACTGAACTACTACCCGCCCCTGCCCGCTCCACCAGCACCGGCAGAGCAGGGGGAATCGGAGGTCTCCATTGGCTCCCATACGGACTTCCAGCTCTTTACGATCCTCTGGCAAGATAACAATGGCGGCCTCCAAGTGTTGAATCGCCAGGGCCAGTGGATTAACGCGAAGCCCATCCCCGGGACGTTTGTGGTCAATATGGCGGATTACATGCAGCGCATCACGAATGATCGCTACGTGAGCACGGTTCACCGGGTTCAGAATTACAGCGGAAACGAGAGGATCAGCATGCCCTTTTTCTTTGGGTTTAATCTTAATGAGAGTTGCGGCGTGCTCGATAGCTGTGTTGCTGAGGGCGAAGAGAAGAAGTATGGCGAGATTAGCTGCGAAGAGTGGGTTCAGAGGCGAGTGAGAGCGATGCATCGGGAAGGCGAAACGTCGGGCAAATGAGTGTGGCTACTCTCATCGATCGAAGCTCCTAGTTTGCAACATCGTCTTCAAACTTTTATGGTCTGAAACTAGAGGTCATGAACACGATACCAGGTCCACCTGGCTGTATGACTAAGGTCAAAACACCTGCTTATAAGGGCAGGGGACATAATGATCTCGTTCAACATAAGAACAGTCACAACATCTACTATAATTTTAACGGTCTGTTCTTTGCTTTCTTGTCGCCCTCTATATAGAGAATAAACTCTAATCTCGATGAATACATTCATAAGAGGCCTTGTGATGATTGCAATATTAAGAAAGATATCTCATAAAAAATTAAAAAGAATATGTAATATGCAGAATCGACCAGGGCCTGATTCGAACAGACGCTCCCGAAGGAAGTAGATTGCACCGAACGAATTCGAGTCTACCGCGTTAACCACTCCGCCACCTGGCCTAATTGGTTGTTGATGTGTTAGTCCGCCTTAGCACCAATTCTATACCCCCGAAAAGTCATTAGCGGCGGATAAAATCAACAAGTAATGCATGTATTCACCCACCACAACCGTAGAACACGATCATACTATACTATCATCTCTCCAGGCCTTCAAACTCAGCTCTACCGTGGATTTCTATTATGCTTTTCTGTAGACGTCTAAGAGTCCAAGGCGAAGGAATAAAACCGGCGAGCTAACACGACCACCTAACTAGGTCGGTTCCAGGACTGTTCTTGTCCAGGAAACCAAATAGAGACAGAACGGATACTCATATAGTTTACCCAGCTCTAAGCCGTCACCCTCACATATTCCAACCGACACATTAACGGTTTCCGATGCCAGATGACATAGACATCCTGATCCCTCCACTCAGGGCCCACGTCCGAAGAAATATCAAAGTTGAATATTAGTTTCGCTAGCAACAGGCGCATCTCATGCCACGCCATGTTCAAACCCAGGCAGTTTCTCGGGCCGACGGAAAACGGCTGATGGGCCTCGCGAACATCGTCCTTGTAATCGGGGTCGCCCAGCCACTGCTCCGGGACAAACTCATCCGGGTTCCTATGGTGATATGATAAGCATGTGTGGCCGGCTTTGCGCATCTTCGGAACTTGGACCCTCCGCGCACAGACGGGGCTTGGGCAAACATACCTGAAGTTTGCTGGTGAGCGGTAGGCGGCCGTGGGGTGCACCGAGACCCGAGTACCCGCAGGCAACCATTTCCCCATGATGGTGTTTCCGCCCTCGGCTATCTCGCGAGGGATAGCCGAAGGAACACGCGGGTAAACACGCGGGCCTTCGCGTATACCTAGATAAAATAAAGATATTAGTTTCAAGGCTTATTGCCTAAGCAGGAATCTACTAGGCTTACTTACAAGTATTCAGGTATTCTAGCTTGCTAAGAGCCTCAAATGTAATGTCTTCATCAGAACTGAAACTTCCGCGGACTTCGTCGGTCAGGATCTTCATCTTATCCGGACAGCTAATCAAGTAATAGGTTAATCCAGTAAGTAGGGAAGCTGGCATATGCTATTAGCGATATTTTTATAGCAGTGCTTTCGTATCCTTTCCCAACATAGCGGAGCAACTTACACGTCGTCTCCGTCCCCGCAGCCATGAACAATTCCGCATTGGCATAGATCTCGCCAGAGCTGAGTGCTCTGGATTCCTCGACGAGGTTCCAGAGGTCAGGCTGATCTGACCCTTCTCGAAGCCGCTTATCGACACGAGTCACCGTGTGATTAAAATGGTCCAGACGCATCTTTTTAACGAATTTAGGCTCAACAAGGCGGAAGAGATTCCTTGAGAGTGAATAGAACTCGATAATCTGCATCGTCGGTAAGATCTAGGAATCCTATTAATCAAAAGAATACTGTGAGGCCAAGTAGTTGCTTAGGACATACTTTTACGGCACTGAAGACCATCGCTACCCAATCCGAGTACTGATTACTCTCGAGCATCCCGAGTGGTTCTCCAAATGTGAACTCGGCCATTATATCGAACGTTGTAAAGTCGTAAAGCTCGGTCATGTTGACCGTTTTGTTCTTGCGGGCGCACGCGGCCATGAGGCTAGCGTATTTCTGAAATAAAGGCTCCTGCTTCCTCAGCGACTGCTCGGAGAAGGCGGGTGAGAATACTCGTCGAACAGTAGCATGACGGACTGTGTCAGGCTCAGTAACAAAGTGCGGGACACCATTCGCTAGCGGTCCATGAAATCTAAGTTCTTTGCCATTCTCCTTCTTACCCCTAGATGTTTAGAGTTAGCCATCCGCATTCTGAGCGAGATTCGGGAATTCAGAGATATGGAAGCTTTTATGACACGACTCTCAGTCAAATGGTAGACGCTTTTATCTAGGATTCCTCATGTTAAAGAAGAAGAGGACTCAGAGAGATTAACTAACTTTGGGACAGCGCAGATGTCTCTCCATGCTTGGGCATCGGTGAAGCTGATATCGTTGGGGCCGAGCCTGAGGGCCGATCCATACTTCTTATGCTGCCTCGTCATCCATCGGACCTGATTGCCCCTGAGACACGCAATCCAGTAAGGAATGCGAGTGATTGCTGAAAGCCGGGGTCCTGGATAAGTACGGAGGGGATGAAAGTAGAGGGCGTATATTGGATACGCGATTAGATATAGTAGTCCTACAGTCAAAAGTGTTTTGTAAATTATTGGACTCGAGATCTCTACATCTCGGGTGGCCCCCTGGGATTCCTGAACGGAGGTTATGATCAGTCGCCCATTCGCAAAACCCGGCGGTCGCGTCAAAAAAAAAAAATACAAGATAAAATCTAATAAGCAGACATTGATATTTTCCCTTTAATGTCTTCTTCTATGTCTGTTGAACGGCATGTGCATTAACGGTGTTTACAATATTTATTAAAATTACCGTTTATAGTAAGTCCGTGAAGTTCACCTAGTTTAGTAGTTTACCTTCACATCGGCCAGGACCTCCATTTTGATTATAATTCAATTCACGAATGGGTTCACGAAGAGTAGCACAGTTATAAAAATTTAGCTTCAAGTAATACTAGTATATTTCTAGGCATGACTGATGTGTTGGTTAGACTCGGTAGCCGCCTCCGACTCGCTCAGGTATAGAGAGATCGGCCCCGCCATTAGCTTCAGGTTGAATTCTGAGTCTGCACTTCAGTCCGAGAAGCTTGAGGCGTAGACTGACCTGCTGGTACATCCGGAGCTTGAGATTCATGCTGTTGTGCATGTTCACGCGGTGCCCGCCGGCATTGATGCGGCGACGGACATGGGCATAGTTGTGGGCTCACCTCATATTCGGCGGTGCAGGCCGACGTGTCATAACCACTTCGTGGCATCGCCAAAGTTTGGCCACCAGATTGAATAAGAGTGAATAGTGTATAGGTATACTCGAACCTAGTAGTTCTTAGTTACTCTTACTCTCATATGTGAGGTGTGCTAGACTATCTGTTAGATGAGGAATTCCGCAGGCTTATATACTACAATCCCTGGTTTTCTATATGATATAATGTTTTATTCACAGGCGCTTTCAAGTCTCGTAGTAAAGAATGGTGTTGAGAAACCAGACAGGGTTGGTAGTTTAGATATTGATGTTTCTTGGACTGACTACCCGGGTTAAGGGGTTAATTCTAGGGTCTCTTGCCCTTGGGATGCGAGATCATTGATTATTGTCATTGTGATATGTCTTTTGTCGAATGAGAGAAGGGAATTGAATGATTGCCATGCACCGCCCAGTGAACTACCTCAATGACGCCAACATTGAAATAAAGCAGTAACCTCACAAAGCCTTATGTACCAATAGTTTCATGACCAGGATAGAGAGATGTGCCCGCTACGGATTCCCTGGTGTCTCTCGTTATATTCACATACAGATTTCGCGCTACTGCCATCTCAAAAAGCCTTGAGTCTAGCGACACTCCAATCATAGACCGGCCTCACATTTTGAGATGACTAGATAAACACCCCCAAGAGTAATTCAACAGGACAAGGTTTACAGATATAGGGAATTTTGGGTGCATCGCCTAGGGTGAGAGTTCTAACCCTCCCAGTAGTGCCGAGCTATCGTCTTCGTCCTCTTCCGGTACCGTATCGATTTTCCGCTCGATTTCAGAGAGCGAGGAGCTCTGGCCTCTCGATGCCGAAAGAGGTGGGTTTAAACGGCTCTTAGGCGTGAGTATCCTCCTTCCTTCTCTCGGTGTCTGTGGAGGTGGCCCCAGCGGAGGCACTAGCATTCTGGTTGGTCTTCGCGGTATCCGTATTGCCCCGGATTCCTGTGATGCCTGCGTGGGTTTCGAAAACGCCGGGATATCTTTGAGAGCAGTCGCGTGTTGATCTGATTCTTTTTTAACTTTAGGTCGGCTAGTAGGAGTCTTCCGGTCATCATCATCAGTATTAAAAACATAATCAAAAACTAAGCCTGAAGCAATGTCCTGCAGTTTTTCATGATTGGTCTTGGTGTCTGGCCATTTAGATTCATGAATCGCTTTTATCACCTGTTTCATACCCTTCCTTAGCCGCTGGTTCTCCCTAGTTAGTGCTTCGTTGAGGTCGACCTGTGTCCGCCACATGGTTCTGGTCTCGGCGATGACGCGGTTGCTGGTCTCTAGCTCCGTCTTTAGAGCTTTAAGCCTCGTCAATGCCGATGGATCAGAGACACCCGGCGTCTCAGGACTCGCCGTTCGCGAATATTCGGATAAGATGGTAGCCTGAGAATATGACGGCTCTGAAGGACTCAACTGCCCTTGTGTCTGTGTGATGTCTTGGGTTGGGGTAAACTGCGAGTCGGCATGATCATCAGATTGGAGCGGCGTGGCATCTTTCATCGAAACATCCAGGCCCAAATCTAAATCGCCGGTGATGAACTGTTGTAGGCGCCTGTCTTTCTCTTGTATGATTTCCCAGGCTCTCTCAAGTTCTCTTCGCAGCTTAGCCGTTTGATCTAGCAAGAAATCGTTCCTGCTCACAAAATTGCTAGTCGGTTCTGTGTTGCCTCGAGATACACTCTCTTGTGCCTGTGGGGTGTGTGGCTTGCGTTCAACCCATGTTGTTATAGCCGAGTAGCCCGTAGTAGATGGTGTCCTACGGTCCATACGTTGACTGAATATACTAGGAGGAGGGAGGCTGCTAGCGACAGTCATTGCATCTTCATTCAGCACATCCCCGAGCATGCTCGAGGGAGATTCGGGTAGACTTATATCTGTCCAAGGCCTTACTGTTGAAAGCGATGCCCGATTTTTCAGAAGTGAATACATTGACTCCAAAGCTGACTCGGTGGGAAGCAGTAGACATGATCCAGATTTAGGATCCCCAGCCGCAACGAAACCGACAAGATTCCTCTCGTCATCGTATGCCCAACTACCGCTATCGCCGGGACGAACTGGGGTGCCTAATTTCACACTGTGTAGTTCTAGAAAGTTGCTTGTCCCGGGGAATCGTGTATAGAACGGCGTCCCCGAGCGTCGGCCCTTG